ACTCACCCAACCTACCCCCGCCCCCCAGCATGGGGCAGGAACTATTCTTAGACAACAACCTACTGTCGACTCTGCACGCCACGCTCCCTGTCTGTCTATTTAACAACCTTTAACAACCAAATAGAACCCACACACACGCACACAGCACGCAGCACAACTTCTCACTCAATAAACAGACTTCTACCCAATCTAATATCCGGTTTGAGAGTAAGCGCTGTACACACAGTGCGTATTCAAGGGAGCCTGTTATAATATACCAGCCAGATTTTTACTGCACCGTGTAAGGAACATAATCAACAGCACTGAAGATAGCTGTTTGCTGTCCACTTGGACATTCCTCGACGAACACGCACACCCAAGCAATAACAGGATGCAAGCCTAAATGGAAAGCAATCTCTTTTTAACGCACTCTTTAAACGCATGCCTTGTACATAATGAAGGAGATTTCTTAGGGAATACAAAAATGGGGCATAAAAACAAACAGGCTGCTCAGGGAAGAAGTGGAGGTGCCAGGAATGTAATCTTGCGGAAGGCCTCTGCCAGGATGCTGAAGTGTTTGGAATATCTACGCCAACGTTCCAAAACGCCCATTAATTGGGCACATAAATCTGCAACATCAACCTGTTTTATATATTCATAAGTCAGCTAGGTCCTCCCCCATAGAGCCTGTGCACTTAAGTGAAGGATGGTTGCATGTATGAGTTCGTATTTATGCGAGTTTGTGACTGGAGAGGACGTGTATGTGTATGTGTTGTGGTATGTGCACCCTTCACCTCTAATCACCAAGTAGTAATTAGCTCTGAGCTCAGTGGACCCTTATAACTGATGAGAAAACTAAAGAAATATGGAGGGGTACGACCCCTCCCTTGGCATTGACCGCCCCCTCCCTTCCCATGGACACTTCCTGTGTGAATTTGGAGCAAAAGCCCCCCGGATAAATGGCAGGTTTAATGTAATCCCTATAAAATCCTGTTCATGCTGCTACTCTTTCTCTCTTTCTGCCTTTCCATCTCCTCTTTCATTTGCTCCTTTCTCTCCCAGGGAGCACAATTAAATGGTTAACGGCGGGGCCAGCCGCGAGGTGTAAACCGCAAAGGAGATGGGCTAAGTGTTGGAGCGTGGGACCACCACGTGTGTGTGTGCGAGGGGAGATTAGTCCTCTTTTACACAGCCCACTTTTAATCTGCTCCTACCCCCGTCTCTCCTGCCCCTTTCTTCATTTTTCTCTAGTCCTATTCTTGACAGTGAGAGTTTTTAGCGCAGCGCTCAGCTTTAATCTCACCACTCTGCCTCCCTCTCTGAGCTTGGTATTCAGAACAGACGGCATGCCACTGGGAGCCCATTTTGTCAAGCTCACCCCATAAAAAAGAAATGAGAAACTAGGATGGAGACACAGGGGAAAGTGTGTGAGAATCAGAAAGTAAGCAAGAGAGACAGCAAGAGGGAGGAAAGAGAGATGTAGGGACAAGAAGAAGCAGACGAGAAAGATCAGCATTAATGGACAATCAGAAGGCCTGGAGTCGACACTCAACAGAGTCTGAAGCCCTGGTTCTTTTGGCTGCTCTCGCTGCTGCTGCCTGCAGCTGCTGCTGCTGCGAGTCTCACTGTAAACGTCGGTGATGTCTCCCCTCTCACAGCTGTTGTACGCAGCGCCCGCCGCTGCACACCCTGCGGCACAGCATAGGCGTGAAGACGATCTTAATGCGATCCAGGTTGGAGGTGAGGTTGGCCCCTGGAAAAACACACGCCACAACCTGGTTGAGAAGGAGCAAGCAGCAGAGACAGCTGGAAATGAGCTGCATCCTTTCTCCTTCAGCCTCACTGTGTCACACACTCCCCCGTCTGGCAAAGGGAGGTTTATTAAGTGTGTGAGGTGTGTGCTGACGGTTGGCCAGTGGCACGCTGCAGCTGAACGAGCGATGTGCCACAGGCCAGCGAATAGGGGAGAGGATACTATTAGGTATTGGGCTTGACTCCAAAGCCCTTTATCTTTGGGAGAAGGGTTTTGATGTAGTGTATGTGTGAAGGAAGACAAAGAGAGCGTGAGTGCAAGTGAACATTGTGTAATGGTGGGAAAGCTGTTCAACAGCCGTTGCCCTGTACAGTGCTAAAAAAACAAGAGAAGCTTTGAACAGGCAGACAGCTGTGTACGCTCGGAGAGTGCATCAGAGGAAGATGAAGGTAGTGAAAGGCCCCACCCCACTCACCCACCTACCCCCCGCCCCCCAGCATGGGGCAGGAACTATTCTTAGACAACAACCTACTGTCGACTCTGCACGCCACGCTCCCTGTCTGTCTATTTAACAACCTTTAACAACCAAATAGACACACACACACGCACACGCACGCACGCACACTTCTCACTCAATAAACAGACTTCTACCCAATCTAATATCCGGTTTTGAAGTAAGCGCTGTACACACAGTGCGTATCAAGGGAGCCTGTTATAATTATCCAGCCAGATTTTACTGCACCGTGTAAGGAACATAACAACAGCATGAGATAGCTGTTTGCTGTCCACTTGACATTCCTCGACGAACACGCACACCCAAGCAATAACAGGATGCAAGCCTAAATGGAAAGCAATCTCTTTTTAACGCACTCTTTAACGCATGCCTTTACATAATGAAGGGAGATTTCTAGGGAATAAAAATGGGGCATAAAAACAAACGGCTGCTCAGGGAAGAAGTGGAGGTGCCAGGAATGTAATCTTGCGGAAGGCCTCTGCCAGGATGCTGAAGTGTTTGGAATATCTACGCCACGTTCCAAAACCCCATTAATGGGCACATAAATCTGCAACATCAACCTGTTTATATATTCATAAGTCAGCTAGGTCCTCCCCATAGAGCCTGGTGCACTTAAGTGAAGGATGGTTGCATGTATGAGTTCGTATTTATGCGAGTTGTGACTGGAGAGGACGTGTATGTGTATGTGTGTGGTATGTGCACCCTTCACCTCTAATCCACCAAGTAGTAATTAGTCTGAGCCTCAGCTGGACCCTTATAACTGATGAGAAAACTAAGAAATATGGAGGGGTACGACCCTCCCCTTGGCATTGACCGCCCCCTCCCTTCCCATGGACACTCCTGTGTGAATTTGGAGCAAAGCCCCCCGGATAAATGGCAGGTTTAATGTAATCCCTATAAAATCCTGTTCATGCTGCTACTCTTTCTCTCTTTCTGCCTTTCCATCTCCTCTTTCATTTGCTCCTTCTCTCCCAGGGAGCACATTAAATGGTTAACGGCGGGGCCAGCCGCGAGGTGTAAACCGCAAAGAGATGGGGCTAAGTGTTGGGAGCGTGGGACCACCACGTGTGTGTGTGCGAGGGGAGATTAGTCCTCTTTTACACAGCCCACTTTTAATCTGCTCTACCCCCGTCTCTCCTGCTTTCCCTGTCTCTATTTCTTTTTGACAGTGAGAGTTTTTAGCGCAGCGCTCAGCTTTAATCTCCACCACTCTGCCTCCTCTCTGAGCTTGGTATTCAGAACAGACGGCATGCCACTGGGAGCCCATTTTGTCAAGCTCACCCCATAAAAAAGAAATGAGAAACTAGGATGGAGACACAGGGAAAGTGTGTGAGAATCAGAAAGTAAGCAAGAGAGACAGCAAGAGGGAGGAAAAGAGAGATGTAGGGACAAGAAGAAGCAGACGAGAAAGATCAGCATTAATGACAATCAGAAGGCCTGGAGTCGACACTCACAGAGTCTGAAGCCCTGGTTCTTTGGCTGCTGCTGCTGCTGCTGCTGCTGCTGCTGCTGCGAGGTCTCACTGTAAACCGTGGTGATGTCTCCCCTCTCACAGCTGTTGTAGCAGCGCCCGCCGCTGCACACCCTGCGGCACAGCATAGGCGTGAAGACGATCTTAATGCGATCCAGGTTGGAGGTGAGGTTGGCCCCTGGAAAACACACGCACACCTGGTTGAGAAGGAGCAGCAGCAGAGACAGGCTGGAAATGAGCTGCATCCTTTCTCCTTCAGCCTCACTGTGACACACTCCCCGTCTGGGCAAAGGGAGGTTTATAAGTGTGTGAGGGTGTGTGCTGACGGTTGGCCAGTGGCACGCTGCAGCTGAACGAGCGATGTGCCACAGGCCAGCGAATAGGGGAGAGGATACTATTAGGTATTGGGCTTGACTCCAAGCCCTTTATCTTTGGGAGAAGGTGTTTTGGATGTGTGTATGTGTGAAGGAGACAAAGAGAGCGTGAGTGCAAGTGAACATTGTGTAATGGTGGGAAGCTGTTCAACAGCCGTTGCCCTGGTACAGTGCTAAAAAACAAGAGAAGCTTGAACAGCAGACAGCTGTGTACGCTGGAGAGTGCATCAGAGGAAGATGAGGTAGTGAAAGGAGAATAAAATTTAGGAAAGGCAAGCTCACATTTCTTTTTGTTGTGGGTAGAGGCGCCAGAGCTCAGTGCCTGTCATGTCAGAGAGGTGACAGTGCAGATTCCCAAAGATATCAAAGCATGTAGCTGTGCAAACACACAAGAACAAACACACTGCTCACAGTCCTCCCCAGCAATTATGTGTTTGTTGACCATCAGCACACACACATACACACACACACACACACACGCACGCACACACACAGACGCACGCAAGCACACACACGCACACACACACACACGCACACACAAACGGTCACACATTGCATGCAGCTTTGATATCAAATGTCGATCTGTTTGGTGTGATGCAGACCACAGAGGCGGTGGGGTGGGTGGACAGTGGGAGATGTGAACTGCAGCCTGGGAAGAAGCCAATTTTTTTTCCTTGTGGCTAATGTTCCATTTAGCGATGACACCACAGGATGTGTATGTATGTATCTTAGCCTCAGTGAATTGAGTGAAAATGGGCTTGTGTTTGTTTTGACGAGGCTAGGAAGGGTGGAGGGCGAAAGTGAGAGCAGATAAAAGTTTTATGACGGTCATTTCAGAGTGTTTGATAGATATGCTCAGTTTTTTTTTTTGTCCTTACCTGCTGGTAATAGTGCATTGTTGAACTGTCCGTGCAGCTGGCTGTCACTGCTGGTGGGCCTGTGACTGTTAAAGGAGTGCACATTACTCTGACCGTTTCTGTGTCCATGCCGGTTCCTGTGCTCATTGCTGTGGCTGTTAGCATAGCCGTTGCCACCGGGTAGAGCGTTGGAGGTGATAGGCCCAGAGGATGATGGATAACGTTTCACAGTGCGGGAGGTCCCAGTCTGCTGAGGGGAGGAGTCAGGGGGTCCCCGTCTCACTTGGGTCCTGTCAATCACATCATCACAAGACCATAAACATATGACCTCAGTCAAAAGCTAATGTCCCGCACATATATACACTCATAAAGATACTCCCATTAGCAACGTATGTGCATCGCCGTGAAATCCATTTAAGTGTGGTCAGTGTGTGCAACAGAAAATAATATCCCTAAGAGACAAACACGCTGTCTTAGGTCATAGCTTTGCTTTAATTGATTTTATAGATAAGATACAACGATTTGGAAATAATTTTGCTTTAATCAAATTAATAATACCATATCATTCTTTAAGCACACTGGGTTTCTCAACTAACATCTGCTGTAAGTCAGAGAGCCATGACCCTCACTAATTAATGAAAGATTCTGTTTGACATTAAAGACATTTCGCAAGAGAAGATTTTTCACCACTGATTAACAAAAAATGAAGTATCATGCAACCAAAGGGAATAACTCACTGGTCCCAGTTTGTGTGTGTGTGTGTGTGTGTGTGTGTGTGTGTGTGTGTGTGCATGTGTGGCGTGCGTCTGTGTCTGTGTGTGGCTGGTCTGTTTGCCCCGGAGAAAAGTGTGTGATTAAACACATTAGATCTTTCCATCAGGACTACAAAACCTCTCCATCACCCATTGTGTCTGCTTGACTAGATTATGAACTCCCTGTTCTGACTGTGGCCAACCAGGGAGCAACATCCTGAGGGTTGCACCGGGCTGGAGGAAGTATTAAAGCTAGGGTCGCAGAACAAAGCTCGACCAGAGCTGCGAGGGGCACATTTTTTTTTACCGGTGAGCGTTTGATTTGGGTCAATTACTGGGCCTGTGCTGCGCGATCTGGAAGCTGAGCTCATGTGAGCGACCTGGGGGAGGCGCGTGCCTCTCAGACAGACAGGCAGACGGACCTACCTTAGCTCTGGGGGTCTAGGAAAGCTCGGGCAATGTTGGGATTCAGCCCTGCAAAAAAACATCTGGATCCCACTGATCTGCCCTGACAGACCGTCAGCAGAGCAAGACAGAGATGAACCATGTCGGGCAGATGAGAAGAGCAGTTCTACAAAGCACACCTGTGTCCCTGTAATGTAATTGAGGCTGTAATCAAACCCCAAATGAGGATATAAACCATGCATTAACATTTAATACGTGGGGTTTTCAGCCACACACCACGTATTCAAACACTGAATCAGCTCAGCCAACCCACAGACACACAAAGATAATCAGGCAAATAAACACACGTGTGCATGCTACTCTAAAATGCACACGTGTACACACATTCACATACACTGAACCACACACACGCCCTGTCCCAGCTGTGCTAGATGTAGCACAAGCCTATGCATGTCTCTTTATTCACTGAGTAAAAAACCACATTCCTGCTGCCAAGAGAAACGGGACACTAAATGAGAAGGGGAAATGAGAGACAAAACGTTTGATAATGTTCTCTCACGTCATCTTTTCAAAAGGCAGCACCTATAGACAGCTGCTGACCCAGATCTCTCCGGGGCGAGTCCCGGGAATAGGATGTGTCACAGGGAAACAAGAGGTGCTTGTGTCAAGGTGGTGAGGACAGACAGGAGGTGGCTATCCCTGCTACGCCGTCCACTCCAAATTATGATTTGGTTTTTCCATCGCTTACAGTGGACACCTGGCCTGCAAGCATCCTGCCTCGCTTCCTTGGCTTAGCCAGATGTTGCTCACCCTGTCTCTCTCACTTTCAATGGCAAAGTGACTTCCTCCCAGCATGAGCTCAGCGCTGCCCTCTCTGCCTGCAGATCAGGGGGCAGCGAGGGCAAGCGCGACTCACTCTGCACGTTTGATGTCTTCATTAGGAACTTCAAGGCCCCTGCAGCCAAGGAGGAATCCCCCCCCCCCCCCCCTGTTCTGGGTGACTTGAAAGCAATTTTGAAGACCTCTGCCAAGATTACATGCAACATGGTTTGAACAGACAGATGGAAAAAATGTTTTGGGTATCAAATTATGGCCATACACTTTTAATTAAATCACTGATGGGGCTGATAAGAGAGCTGCTGAATGAGCATATGGTAGAGACATGAGGCAAATAAAAATGATGAGAAAAATACACTGAATTTACAAAGTTTGTCTTTTGTATGAGTCTATGAGTCACTGATGCTGTTCACTGCTAATTGAATACTTATATATTTGAAAGTTGTCAGTTGAGCTGTGGTAAGTAATATCTGCAGTTTTCCCCAGCTCTACTGAGCAAATTTCAAAATTATACCTTGCAGCACCTCTAAAGCTCACTACTTAACACGGCGCAGCTCCAATCTGTATACAAACAGAAATATAAAAATGACAGTTTTTGGTTTTAGGGAGACTTAACTTCTCCATTTGTCTGCTGACAAATAACAATTTAATCTACTCAGCACTTCTATGCTGCATATCAGGCTACAGCACCGGTTAGAACAAGTTACAACTTCACTGTGACAACAACTCTGTGGGAAGTCAGGGAGTATATCTTTGAGGCGAGCCGTTTCCTCCCATTTCCAGTATTTATGCTAAGCTACAGCTAATGTCTGCCTGGCTCTAGCTCCATGGGCTACTTAATGCACAGACATAACATTGGTATCAATCTTCAGATCTAATTCTTGGAAATGATGTGAATAAGTGTCTTTATGAAAATGTTGAACAATTCATTTCATGGCCAAAGAAAAAGCATTATGGTTACACATGATGTTGAAATCGCGAGGCCAAATCATGTTTTATTATTTAGATACATTGATTACACTAGGGAGATTCACTTGCATAAAGCGTGAGACTCGACTTGGTTTTGTACATGACATGTATTATTTCATGTTCAGAACATGTGCTCAACAATTATATTCAAAGAAGAGACTGTTCTTATGCGCTGATAAATCTCAGTCCAAACGTTTGATCAAAGCATCAGTTTATATTTGATAGCAAAGGAGGCCTCCAACTAAGACATAAAGACATTGGCGCTGTCCACTTTCACTCATCATTATTCATTTCACATGTATGGAAAGCAATTAGAACTAAACATCATCACATTTGAGGAATTTACAAATCAAACTGAAGGCCAAGAATCGACACTGTGCATGAAACATCCAGCGCGTTGCAAAAGTATTACTTGGCACTCTGTTGCTATGTATCTTTGAACTCATCGCAGCATTACAACATGTGAATATTAGCTCTCATTAAGGCATGACAGGCAGCATGAATGGCAGTTCCAGCCGTGCCTCTTGACCCAGATGAGTTGGAGAGGAGGCAGTTTTGGAGCACAAACAGCACAGAGTGAAAACACAAGCCAGGCCCAAGAACTGGAGGACAGTCAAAAAGGCTGCAAACCCTCTGATCTCTCAGCTTCTGCTGATGCTGTGCATAAACCACATTGTTAAAAAAAAACCCGATGAATTACACTGCCAAGCAAAACGCTAGGTGCACTTTGAAGTTTTGATGAAAGTGTGCTGGGGGAGGGGGTGTTACGTGGTGAAATTCGGTTAGGTGGATTGTTTTTTTAAGTGCCAGGAAACCCCCGTAGTGGAGGCTTGGAAAACACCGCTTCCCATCATCCCGGTGGTGACTGTGTTGTTTCTGTAAGTTGCCCACTGGGAAACAGGAGCCTCTTAGATGGACGGAGAAATTCAGGATTTATCTGATGATCCTGTTCACCCAAAACATTCGCACACTCGCTCACACACACACACACACATACCTACATGCAGTGACCTAGATCCTCGGGAATTGTTTACATCTTAAACCATCTCTGTAGCCCACTTGGCATGACGAGGCCAGAACAGTGTTTATGTGAAGCACTGCACGGTAATGTATGGTCCACAGCTGATTCATTCACTAACAGTTCAGCCTCTGAGGTGCTTTCGTTATCATCCGTCTCTATAAATCTCCATATGAAATAAAGCATATTTGTCAGTTAAAGTATTTCAGATGGAGAGTCTAGTTTTTCTGGGCGTTGGATGCCAAGTAGGTTGGAAAGAGGGTCAGGATTTGTTTTAATAAAAGACATGTATGCTGGAAGTAGTGGTATCTAGCGCTGAGGTTGCAGGTTGCGACCAGGTGAACCTACTTTGCCTTTCAGGGAAAGTAAAAATGCAAAAGGCCGTCTCTAGAGCCAGTGTTTGGTTTGTCTGTTCTGGGCTACTGTAGAACCGTAGTGGTGCACCCACTGTGGAAGAGGGCCGCTCCCTATGTAGATATGAGGGGCTCTAAGCTAACAAAAACACAATGATTCCTATTTTCAGGTGATTATACAGTAATGAAAACATTATTATGAATATGATATTCCATTTCTGCCAATAGATCCCCCTAAATCCTACACACTGGTCCTTTAAATGGTTTTTCACAGGCCCTCTCAGCACTTGAAGCTCAGCACAAGTCTACCTTGGCAAAGCTCATTTTTCATTTTGATTTGTTTGAGAATACCTAACTCCGAACCCACATCTAATGGCTTGGATTGTTGGCTTATGGCAGCAAATGCAGAAAATAGACTGATATGAAGAACTCGTCTGGTTGCTGGATGGAGCCATTTGGCTTTAGACAGACTGTCTAAACAAGACCGTCTGACAGCAGGCAGGAGTGTCTGGCATGAGCATCCCGGTCTGGGTTACACCACAAAACTCGATAGCTCCCAGCTTTGTCACTTTGTCCCGTCACAGTTTTCTTTGTGTTGGACTGGACATGACCTGCAAAGTGACGGGCGGCAAACCTCTGGAGCCGTCAGTAGGTTTAGGACCAATCAACACAAGTCTCTCTCTATCCTGCTGAGGAAAATCAAGTCATTATTCTTTTTATTTAAACAAAATGTTTAATGGTTCCATTTACCTCTTTCCAACACGGAGCATCAGCCAAAAGCCCTTATTACATAAGAACTGCACATAATTAGGGCAATTTGAAAGCTACTTGGTAAATGGGAAACCAAACGACGGTCGTCAAAGACCAAGTGTAAATCAAAGTTTACACACATTCATCGCATTCAGAGAAAGCGTTAAAGGCTGTTGTTCATTTCAAGGCTCGCCCGCGGATATGCA